CCCACACGGTGTGTCTCTGGCTCCAAGAAGAAGGGCCTTGTCGACGAAGCCAAGAACGCCAGTCCCCTCGCCTCCCCCACTCTCGAGCGCAAGTCTTCGGTCACTGCCGTCTCGTCGTCTTCTCTCGTGCGCAGACTCAGCAACAAGTTCGACTTCGAGAACAACCCGAACGTGGAGCTGATGACGTTCGACTTTGAAAGCGCAGAGAAGTCATCTGCTTCATCTGTGTCTTCTGCCTCATCAACGGCTTCATCGCCTACCGAGAGCAAGACCGAGGAAGAGGCACAACAGCCGTCGGAGCCTTCGCCCCCGCCACAACAATCCCAGGCCATGGCCCAGGCTCATGCTGTGCTCAAGGCCCAACAACGGCCTCATCTGTCCAAGTCTGGAAGCCGTAGGACCGGCCCCGAGCCGCTTACGCAACCCCTTCGCCCGGCGGGCATTTACGTCAAGCGCGCCGTCTACGCCGGTCGTGCTTTGGCCGAGTGGAGCATTGTCGTCGCTGAATGCAACGGTTTCGTCGACCGCAGACGGGACGAGGGCGTTCTTGGCCTCAGCGATGTGGAGGTTCCGATGCTTACAGTCGAAGGCTTCCGAAAGCTCGGCTAAATGCGCCTAGTCCACACAAAACCGCCATGCTTCCGCTCAACACTCGAGTGCGCATTCATACACGAAAATTGCGTATTTCTTCCACGACAACGAAAGTTACGACATGGAACCGGAGAAGAAACACGAAACTATTCTCTCTCCGCATGACAGAAATAAAAGCAACATCAAAAAGTACGGCGTTGACGAGCACATCCCCTCGCAGCCTCACGAGGCGGGCTCATCATTTTATCCATGGAGAATTCCCTTGCATCGCCACAGCATTATATCAATCCGTCCCAGCAGACGGTCACTTTACCAAAGCTCTTGAACGAGCCCTCCTCTTCCTCTCTGTTTCGGCGCTCATTTTCCAAGTCGTCGCAGTCCCTAGCAATTTCCGACTTTTTCTCTCCCAAGCTCAGGTGGCTTTTGCTCTTCTTCACCGTCAGTATTGTTCGAACCACCATATCATCAAAGTAATGATAGTTTAAATCTCTTCCCTTCTTACTCGTGGTCATTTATTTTGCTGTTGTTTCAAGGCGTTTTTGGGGTCAAACTGGAAAGAGCGGATAACCAACTCCCTATCAAGTCGGGATCTTTAAGGGATATGTGTGAGGAATTGGGATGCGCGATTGTTTCGTTTTGAGACTTGTCAAGGGGTGGGGAGCATTTGTCAAAGATTGCTTCTGTTTCTGCTCCCTTGAGAAACTTTGTCTCCTTTTCTTTTTCTTCTTGCGTTCGTCACAACCGGGAAACACGGGACGGATTGTTTTGTTTTTCATTGCTCAGGTCGCATTACACACGCACACACACACACACACACACACACATGCCAACTTTTGTTGCTTTGTTCGAATTGGGCGGAGGGATCGAGAGGAAGACAGGTATTGAAGGATATATCCCGAACAAATCAAAGTCCAATGAGAGACAACATTCTGAATCAAATCTGGGTATCTTGCGCTGCTATGCATGCTTGTGAATGATGGAATCCATGTGGTGATCTTGATAGTCGAGGAAGCGTGCTCTACTTGATAGGGATGGGTCTTGTCGAAGAGCTTTGAGATTGACCTATGCCCGGATTGTCTTCAAATCAGAATGCTTATCGTATAGTAGATCAAGGGGCTGTATCAGGGGGTCTCCGAATTGTGCCATGGAAGGATTCGGAAATCTATCTCGACATTGAGAGAGAGTCTTTATATCTGGATACTAGGGAGGATGTTTGGATCTAGTTGGTCATGATGTAGATCCACTGCCATAACGTGGTGTGCGGGAGTCGGGAAACGTGTGCGTAAGCGAGAGTGTGTGGGCAGCAGGTGTGAGGTACGCTCATCACCCGGGTCTTCTCTGAGAGAACCGCCGGTTTGTCGTGTGAATAAGACCTGTGCATAGGTATGCATGGCGGCGCAGAATCGATGAGTTCCAGTGTAATGTCCGGTTAAATCTTTGAGGGCTTCTTCTCGCTGGCACTTTAGATTGTCGTCTCTTGGTTGCTAATGACCTTCTCTCCTTGGAATTTGCCAGCGTGTGGGGAATCGCTGTTCCTTGGACGCTGCCACGCCTCAGCTCGTCTGCGGCCCATGAGTCTATAAAAGGCCGACTTCCAGCGCGCAAAGGATCACATACGACAGTGCGACATGGGACTCCCAGGGTGGAGTTTACCTGACACCCATTCTTCTTTGAGAGGTTGTGATACTGCTGCCGGCTGAGCACGTCTCATGGACATTCTCTCCGATCTTGATTGTGAAGTCAAGCGATCTTGTTCGAAGGAGTCAAGGCGGAGCTGCAAGTTTGAACAACTCTTCCATCGTCGTACCTTGGCAGGTGGGTATTCTGCGGGCGAATACTCTTATGGCGGCGGCGAGGAGCAGACGACAGCTGTTCTTGACTATACTTGGTACTGTGTAGCTCTGTGATTCCAAGGTTATGGGCCGCAGGCGGGTGTGGGCTCATTATGTATAAGCTTGGAGCAGGGGGCTTTCGCCATGGGCGTCTACTCCATCCTCGGGGACTAGTGGCCCGACGAGTCCGTGTTCTCGAGAAGGTTGACCTCAAGCCCTTCACCGAGGACGACTATGAAAGTCTGGCAAAGCATCATCTCAACGGTCGCCAGATCAAGAACCACGATCCGGACCGCCCAGGCCTTGGCCGTCAACAAAGAGCGAGCCTCTTGGCATGGAGCAGATAGCGTGTGTAGCGCAGTACTGCTCAAGATAGAAGCTCTTGAGCTGGGAGAGATGAGCGGGGATTATATATTACGTATAACGCTAATTGGATTCGTAAAGTCAACCACAGGAAGGTGCAAAGCGATGACTTTGGAGTGAGTTCACCAGTTATGCAGATAGCTTCGATCGGGACGATGATGGTCGTGGTTCTTACATGAACCAGAAACAGCAACCAAGGAAGAGTGAGACTGCCATGCAATTCTTGCCTGTCGGTTCTTCCTCGTCTATTGCTCTGAGATGTACGAGTCTTGAGAGCTCTTCGTATCACCCCGTGGCAGCGACAGAAAAATTGAAATGCGCTCACCCTCGACTTGACATTCAGGTCTCTCCCCAGAGCTGTTAAGTCTTTCTCACAGGTTGAGAATGACGACCGCGAAGGATTCCTTCTCACGCTTCTCAGAGATGAACCATATGTATATAGATACAGCTCGAGGGATATGTTCGAGTGCATTCCCCCATTGCCAGAGGACTGGGGAAGCTTATGTGTGGCAAGGCTCCCCATAACTCTCTACTAAAGGCCGAGTACCCAGCATAAAATGAGGAAGAGTATGGGTATTCCGCTGTAGGGCGTCGCACAATACTTACGGATGGAGCATGAAAACTCTTATGAGAATCTCATTGTCGTACAGCTTATAATCGCCATGTTTCGCCACATATTGGCCTCATCTCCTAGAATAACGATGCTGCTGGCCTAGTCAAACTAGCAAATCATCTTTTAAAACACAGACTACTCTCTGAACCAGAATCGACATATATATGAGCAGTCATCCCGTTTCGGGTAGTGTTGGGTGTGAGGACAACGCTCGACGGATCTGGGGTTACCCTTCCGCGGTGTGAATTCGGCGCGGTCGTGACAGCCGTATACCTAAATCGATATTTTCAGTATTTCGAATTATTTCTGGACAACCTGTTTCCGTGGACGTAGTGTGATGATGGACTGACCAGGTACTTGCGAGCTATAACATTGTCAATACTTCTCTCCTATCCTTGGGGTGTGTGCCTTGATCTTTCCCCTTCGCAAATGACGTCCGACGTACGACGGCGCCATTGTAAAAGTGTCCGAGTATCCCCAATGTCCAATGGTATGACCAGCACTTCATCGCAATGGTCCACTTCAAGTTGAAAAGTTGACGAGATGGAGAGGTTGAATACCGGTGGCGAGCCCCGGACTGGACCGAGGTGCGAGGGCGGTGTCTCCCATTTTGGTGAGAGCCTCCTGACAAGCAGCTGGCTACTCGACTCTCCCAAATACTTGTTTACACAGCACGGTATACCTTACGCAGTACCCATAAGCTCACGAAACTGCCGCAGCAACTACTTTCGTTCATCTACCTTGTTGTCCCGTGCGACGAACGACCACTCTCCACAAGATCCACCAGGCGCCTGTCTGATGAATACTCGCAGGACTCAAAAGCCCGTCAACTGGGCATATTCCAATAGTGGAGCGAGAGTACCCATCATAGGCAAAAAAAGTGAAGAAGAAGGCATGAGCAGCCCCTGAAGTGTATATGGCCTAGTGGTGGATGGTTGAATGCCTGGTTTCGGCAAGCGGACGCGAGTTCGAATTTGGTGGCCCTACATAAAGTCACAGGCAGCTCATTTTTGTTTCTGTTTTACTTGTTCTGTCTGCTGCTGTCCCTATACATATAGATTTCAAGGCCGAATAAATGATAAATGAGAAGATTACGTCCATATTGGGCTTACGGAGGTGATACTTGAACTTAACCTGGCTGGTTGCGATGTGTTCAAACCGGGGTCTCCTTTTCATAACCGTGGGCATTTCAGCTCGAGCAGCAAATGATATTCATCGTCATTTTATTTTATCCACAAGCTATGAGATGAACCCCCTTTCCGCTTGTTTCCTCGACCATGGGCTACCACACAGACGAGCACGTGTTCTCGTCATGAGAGTCTAGCGCCCGATGCCGGTGGTTCGTCGCAAACGTCAAGTTCTCGCTCCGTCATCGTCTCGGCCTTGTATGATCCGGCTCTATTCAACGTAAGACTTGATCATGAGGGGAATAGTGCGTCTGATTCAGCGCGAGCCTTGAAAGGCAAAGTACTAACCCAACCCAACTTCGAGCCGTGGAGAGCGAGACCCAGATGCCCGGCTGGCTGGCTGCGGGTGACTGAGGTGTCAGCCAGGAAAAGGTCCAGTGTCATCATTACAAGTAACGGATACCTTGCAGTCACTTTGCCAGTTTACAAATGGGAATCTTGTTTCATCTACCTAGGTTGGAATCTTTTTATGTTGTCACTCACGGGCATCCACCCAATCCCCTATTTCATGAGGTGACAGAACGCCTTAACGCCAGCTGGGACTTGACTGCCCCAAATACCACCATCTCCGAGACTTTTACACTACATGTTTCGAAAGGAGTACAGCGTTCCTGCTGTGTCCCGATGCCATTTTGTGAAACTATTTGCGCGATAGCCTTGATTTTCTTTCCTCTTCCCATCTAGACGAGCAACACCGCGTTTACGCAACCGTCGTTTTCCTGGTAGGCACCGCGCGATTAGTTTCTCGTGCTGTGAAGTTGATACGGTGGCACGACCAGCTCGTCAAAGTATCCAAAAGACATAGTCAAAATAGCCGCGCTCTTCGATGAAATGTCACTTACCGGTGAATTCGTAACCTGCGCGTAACGACCCCATACGACCTTGCCCGACGCCGTCGTAAGACCCATGTCTGATACGTTGACCTCCAGCACGGTTCCCTTGGTAAGAACACCCAGATTCGTGTAAAGAGGGTTCTGGGGGTTCTTCTTAACTCCCAGAATTGGCAGTTTTACGGTTACATTGAGCTCGGGGTGGCACACGTGTGCGTGCTTATAACGCAAGCCCATAGGACGGATGAATCTGATATTGGAAAAGCACTTCGTTAGCCAAGCTTCCCAGGACGCCAGACCGGCGCCAAGTTCTTAGGAGGAATTACCGTTCGTGCTTGGGGTCTCTCCGGGTGAAGTTGGGTCCGACAAAAGTCGGCTTCGTAATCATACGCTTCCAGGACTTCTGGTGCGTCTTCTTTCCGGTCGAGATGACTTTAAACATCTCTTCTTCGCTGATGCCTTTAACCTTGGGCAAGGGGACCTGGAAGCGAGCAGCCTTCTCGGCACGCTTGTTCTTGATCTGGGAAGAAATGGCCTTGGCGTTGCTCGGGTTGTTGCGGTCGAGCAGGTAGGCGGGCATGGGCTCGCTGGGCTCCTTCTCGTCGTTGGTCTTGACGTTGCGCTCCTCGTGGGCCTTGATCTGCTTGCGCATCTGGATCTTCTCGTTGTGGCGCTTCTTCGCGTGGAGCTTGGCGCGGAGACCGCGCAGGTTCTGCGCATCCTTGGACGCCTTGTGGCCCTCACGAGCCTCCTTCTTGCGGGCGCGCTCCTCGTGATCGAGTCTTGAAAAAAAAACATTAGCGTTGAGTTTCAGTTTACCATTCAAAATTCTCACCTTCGACCATGAAGCTTGCGCCATCTCTCCATGTACTTTATTTTCCTGGTTAGCACGAGCCGAGATTGGGAGACGGAGAGGCCCTTCGGAGGGCACGTACCTCGTTCTGTTTTCGCAAATTTGTCAGTACAAGTCAAGAGGACAGAGACAGTGCGGGTTACTCACCTGAGGCATCTTGAATGATTTACGCACGTAGCGATTACGGATTTACAAGATGGTGTTGCTGATGTGGTCTGGTCGTCCGTCGTGTTGAGGTCGGCGAAGCTCCCAAGAGTTGTCGTCCTGTCGAAGTGGCGGGTAGCCAAAAAAAAATACCATATCGATAACGATGTGGGGTCCGACCCCAAAACTTCGAGGTCCAGCGGCCAACATCCCTGCTAGCATCAGCGGAGCAACACATTTTCCGAACATCCCAAGGAACTGCACTCCAGGTCTATCCGAACTTTTTTGAAGCTTCGTGTTGGCCGGGTCGCAGTCGCGCAGAAAGCTCAAGTCGACGAACGTGAGAGACCACAATTGGACCGACAAACGAGGTCCGACTGTCTCTCTCTGTCCAACGACAAACTCCCAAATACAAAAAAAGCCAACCATTCAAAAATGAGTCGAGCATTGCTGCGCTCCGTCTTGGAGCTCAGGACACCCATGACGCGCCTCCCGCCAACCTTCCTCCTCCCGATCCACGCCCGCCGCTTCAACTCCACAGCGCCCATCATCGAGCCCGCCGCAGCCGCACAAGATGCGCCCCCCGTCGCCACGCAAACCTCCTCAATAGCACAACAGGCCTCCGCCGCCAGCCAGACGTCGACGCCATCCGCAACGACCCCAATCCCCAAATCCGTGCAGGCGGCCCTGCCCTTCCTGGCGGCCCAGCCCAACCACTACATCACCTTCCACATCCACGGACGCCCATACCTCGTCCAGCCCGGCGACAGCGTCCGCCTGCCCTTCAAGATGCCCGGCGTCGTGCCCGGCGACGTTCTGCGCCTCAACCGTGCCTCCGTCATCGGTAGCAGAGATTACACCCTCAAGGGCTCGCCCTTCATCGACGAGCGGGTATACGAGTGCCGTGCCGTGGTGACGGGCACGGAGAGCGAGCCAATGAGAATGAAGGAGAAGACGAAGAGGAGGCAGCGGAAAGTGAAGACGGTCAAGAGCAAGCACCGCTACACGATTCTGACGGTTAGCGAGCTGAAGATCAATGCGCCTGAGGAGATTGAGGCCTAGAAGGCATGGCTGGGGGTGTGCAAGCTTGTTCGAGTATGAATCAGGAATAGTAGGCCATGGATGATATGATTCCATATTCTTGTATCGTTCCCCGTCGGGGCTGTACCAATAGACAAATAAATACATTCACGTCATGTAGAAATGAGGACTTTCATAGTCGCTGTAAATGTTGCAGCCGAGAGGCTCGCGTAGAAATTGATCAAGACGCATCATCTATGCCTGCGTCTCCAAAGAAAAACGTGCCCAATGATGGGTGAAGGCCAATGCCTAGGGAATCAATATTGAAAACAGTGGAGAAGAAAAACGACTGCACGAAGCAGTTGTACAAGAAGTAAAACAAACAGCCCAAGAAACTCCGAGCTATGGATATTCCGATGATCATTAAACCCAAGTAATGTCTCCATGACGCCTTTTCCAACAACAATGCTCGTACGCTTTCGTCACCTGCTCTGATTCGTTGCTTTTTTGACACTGGTCCAGTAAGCCGATGGCCACACGGACATGGCCTCTGCATCTGTCGGCATGCGTTCTCGACACCTCGAGACAACGCTCTGGATGATTCTACCAAGGAGCTCTTCGTCAATGGGAAGGGCCTTTTCGCTCATCTCATTGGGGTATAGGAAGGGGTCGGTCTCGTGGAGAAGCTCTTCGCATGAAGGTCGCATGTGGACGTCGCGATTGAGACACCGCCTCAAGGTTCGCAACAGAGACGGAGGTACTGGAACTCCGCCCATGGCCCGGGAAGGGAATTCGATGTCGTGATCCCAGTTGATGATTGCTTGGCACTTTGCCATTTGATTGTTGATGTTACCAAAAGGAGGTATTCCATAGACCAGTTGGTACAGAATGCACCCGAGGGACCAGACATCGCTCTGCTTTCCAACCTTCATCAACTTGGGCCGTCCAGGAACTCGGCCGCCCCGAGGTGCGTTGGAGTCCAAAAGCGACTCGGGGGACATGTAGTTTGGTGTGCCAACTTGCGTTTCGCGGTGGACGTTGACAGTCTCATCAGTTTGAATTGCATTGGCGATACCGAAATCGATGAGTTTCAAGCGACCCTTTACAAGAACGAAGTTGGCCGGTTTGAGATCGGAGTGCACGATTTCGGACTGGTGTACCGATTGTAGGCACTCCAGCATTTCTTTCCAGTAGAAGCGGACCAAGACTGAATCAAACTTGGGCGATTCAGGATTTTGGCGACTCCTGAGAAGCGTGTGGAGATCCAATTCGCCCATTTCCATAAGCTGAGTACGCGTTAGGGATGCCATTACATTTTAATATTGGATGACTTACCAAAGTGAGCATTTTCTTTTCGCTATTCATCTCGTAGTCGAAGAGGTTGATGACTCGGTCATTGCCTCTCAGCCTGCCCAGTAGGTCGATTTCGCCCTTGTAGCCCCGGACGGTCAACTCGTCTGCATTCTCCAGCGACACCCTTTTCAATGCAAACATTGCCCCGTTTTCGGCAGTAACACGGTAGACCTTAGCGCTACCGCCCCGGCCCAGACAGTCGAGTCTTGTGTAGGACTTTCCATTGACACGAAGGATATTCCGCCTTTGCTTGCCTTGAGTAGTCGTCGCTGCGCCAGCGGATGTGGTAGCGGCATCAAGGACAGACATCTTGGGCGGAGGCGGGGGAGCAGCTCGGCGCGGAGTGTTGTTGGCCAGGGAAGCCAGGGGCTTGCGCTCAGGGGATGCCGCGGGTCTCTGTTGAACAGCCTCGGGATTGATAGAGCGTCTGACTACTTTTTCCATGACCATTTCCGCAGGCTTGACGGCGGTAGGCCTCGTGCTTCGCAGTATAGAAACTGGCTCGTTCTCCTGGTCGTGCGAGGAGGGGACTTGAGGGCGTGGCGCAGGTAACTTGTAATGAATCTCTTCTGGCTCGTCTTTTTCCTGGGGAGAATGGCGCGTAAAAGAAGGGGCCGGTGGTTCGGCATACGATGTAGGCCTGCGATGAGCTGCTCTGGATGGGTCGCTCAAGGCGACAGGACTGCCTGATGACATCTGTCTGCCGTTGCCATAAAAGGATGATGCCATCTCATTCTCTACGTCTGTGCCGTGACCGTCGTGATACTGGCTTGAGATCAGACCCTCGCCATCACCATTTGCCTCCGCTTCTTCCTCACTCTGTCTTCTACGTCCACGTCGAGCGGGTCCGCTCAAGAAGCTTCCGGGAATCTTGCCTACTCGCTTGACGCGCATGGAGCCTTGCAGTGCGAGATTATCCTCGGCCTTGGTGGTTCTTCCAGCATTAGAAGCTTGTCGGGATACGCTGCTGGGGTTGATACCGGCAGCATGGCGTGCTACCGTATACGGCTCTTCTGGGTGGTCCTGTTCCGTATGGGAACCTGAGCGCCTTGAGTGACTGGATGAATTGGTGAGGCGACTTCTGTTGCCGGACGAGCCAGCGGCGATCCGGACGACACGGATACCTTGGGCCGGTGTGTTGACATCCTGAGGCGGTTCATTCTTCTCATCCGAGGACTGGTTTCGGCTCTCTGGCCGGCTTCTAGACTGGGGTCGTTGGTTGGTTGATCGGGACAGCGAGGTAGACCTTCTCTTGGCAGGGCGCATCTGGCCAAGACTCTTTGGCGTATTGCTGAGTCTCACAACTCTTTTCCGCACAGGACTGTTCTCTCTGCTCTGTATCGGCGACGTGGGTTTCGTTGACCTTGTGTCGTATGCCTGAGCACTTCCCGATCGGAGGGATCTTCTCTCCTCCGTGGCAGAGCTCGTGGACGCGGCAAGATTACTGACGCGGCGACGTGTTCTAGGCGGTGAAGCTGCTCTTTGCGGTTCCGGGCCGCTGCCATCGTTAAGAAGTGCCTTGGTGAGGGCACTGAGCTTCATAGGCACGGGTATCTCGTCATCGGAGCTGTCGTGCATGGCGTACTGCTGCGAGTCTGCCTTTTTTGAGAGCGCGGGTGCAGCGGCGGTCGCATGAACAGGGTTGGATTCGCTTCGATTGAGATGCGGACGAGAGGGCAGCCTCCTGAGGCCTTGTCGTACAGAAGGTTTTCGTGACAGGCCGGTTCCGGCGTTGCCCAGCGGCGTGGGAGAGGTTGTCGACATTTCGAGCTGGTGGGATGGTTTGTTGTTCCAATTTTGCGCAACGGGGGGCTGGGGATTAGCGGCGCGAATCTCCACGTCTCGGCAGCCAAGCACCTTCCGCCAGAAAAAAGCGATTGATTTTGGCGATTGAACACTGTTTTACGTGTCAAATGTGCCCATGATCCGAAAGATTGCAAATGGAGAAGAAATTAGTTTATGCGGCGCGTCACTAGCATCTTGTATGTTGGAGGGATGTGTCGATTCCTTGTCAATTGAGGACGTTCCCAGTATTTGGGGGCTAGCAGGGGTTGACCAATGAGAAATCAAGACCAGGGGATGTTGTTGTCGGAGCAACGATGGGCTGAACGGCAAAGCGTAAGGCGGCACATTCTTCGTTGGGCACATGGAATTGGAGTTTGGAACCAGGCACTAAGTCTTGCCTAAGGCTTCATTAGGTGTCTAGCCTACTTTACCTTACCTAGCACCCTAGTTTGCATGTTTAAGTTGATGTAATCCCATGCAAGGTATCTTTTCGCTTAAGGGATACCGAGCGAGACCGGTCACAGCTTTCGGCCTTGAGCTTTCAGAAATTGTTTGCGCCAGGATTACCCGCACGTTGCGCGCCTTTTGTCGCAAAGAATCGCCCACTGTACAGGAGGTGAGTTCAAGATGTGCGCCGGGTATTAATTGGATGGCGCAAACAATCAGAGCTGAAGTTGACATGAACTCAGTGTTCCAAGCGGGGAAGCACACAATTAATCGATGAGGGGTAACAGTTTTCAAAGAACCAGCGAGCTTTTTATTTGACCGAACCTAGCAGGTGTTCCTACACAAACGTGTGCCGAAGCCCAACCCAAGAGAGATTTCCCCATGTCAATGACTTGTGAAAACGTCGGCCGATTGCTGCGTATATTCTTCGATGAGGCGAGGGCGTGAGAGGGGTATTTAGTCGAAGAGACCGAATCCCATGTCCTCGTCGGACTCCTCCTTCTCCTCCTCCTTCTCCTCCTTGGGGGCGTCCTCAGCGGCACCACCGGCAGCAGCACCGCCGGAAGCGGCGGCGGCACCACCAGCGCCACCAGAGGGAACGGAGGCAAGCTTGCTGGAGCCCTCAGCGATGAGCTGTATACCTTGTTAGCATCTAGATCCTTTGCGCATGTCGCATAACCAAAGTCGTAACGAACCTCGTTGATGTCCTTGCCCTCGAGCTCGGAGATGAGCTTGTTCAGGCGCTCGTCATCAGCCTCAATACCGACGGACTCAAGGACAGCCTTGACATCCTTGGCAGAGGGGGAGGTGTTGCCACCGAGGCCGAGGAGGAGGAAAGCGGCGAGGTGCTTCATCTTGAATGATTTTCTGCGGCGAACGATTGTTAGATAAGAGGGATCGTTGAATTTTTGGCGGCGACGTCGAAAATCCAAAAGACAATTGGCGACGAGATGGAGATCAGGCGTAGAGAAGAAGGGGGTAAAACTCACTGTTTGTCGTAAAGAACACGAGAGGTCAATCAATTTAACCGCGAAGTTGGGCGGAGACTGAATCTTCGAGTCTTGGGAGATTTTCGCGTGGTTGATGAGATTCGGTAAGTTGTCGGAAATGGAACTTTTTTTTCGTTTTGTGAGCCAGAGGGTGCGGGACCCTACCTTAGGGCGGGGAGGGCGGTCGGTGGCTGGGGCAGCCGACCGAAAAGCACACAAGCCACACGTCTCCTTGCTTCCGCGGCTTCAGCCACATTGACGACCTCCTACGCCTGCTTGGCCCGTGGACCACTGACAGCCTTCCGAATTCTACCACCAGAAGTCGACAGAGAGGGTCAAAGCGTCAAGGGCCCAGTGGAGCCCACTCCACCGGAATCGGAGCCACTCCAGCTTCCGGACAGGCTAACAGAAGGTTGGACCACAGTCCAAAGTACCTACCTGGGTGGACGGTAATGGAGGTACCAGTGATTCCACCCCCCCAGGCCAACATATAAAAACTTGCCGACTCCAACGCCACTTCCTTTTGTCCGCTACACCCAACTTTCGATTTTAACGACCGTCGGGTGTTTGTGCCGAGCGCTTCGCGACCGCCTTCTCAATTTTCGCGATTTTTCCTCATTTTTTCTCTACCATTTCTCGTCTCTCAGACCCGACGGAAACGCCCGCGTGTTCAGTCTTTTGAGAGGGGGCCGCTGAAGGGCAGAAACTTGAGTTCTCATACTTTCCACACTGATGACTCAAGCGTCCGCCTGATGCATCCTGACGGCCGCTGCAAGCAACATAGACACTTGCTTGAAGATATCTGGCTTTAGCAGTCCGTCACCATGCCTGTAAGTGCTTCCAAGATGCGACACCACGTTTCAGCGGCTACTATGACGGGGCTGACGACGGGCGGCTCACAGATCGGAGATCTCCTCGCCCAAATAAGTGGCGATAAGTCACAGAGCACATCGCCCGCTCCATCGAGGGCCGCACTCCCGCCCCCTAAACGGAAAGCCGACGACGATCTCCGCAGCACCGTCTCGAACAAGCTTCCGCGAACAAGTACAAACGGTGCCAGCTCGTCTGCACCCCCCAGATTGGCAGATGCCCAGAGACCCGCACGGCCTGCGGAGAAGTCTTCGACAACAACCACCGGCTATCGAGGCAGCGCCGGACGACCGTCTGATCGATCCACGTCTGCGCCTAAGCCTGTCGGAAATGGCACGACGTCCGCAAAGCCCAGCTCTTCCGGTGCCAGGCCGATGAATGGCTCGGGCACATCGAGAGTGACATCGGCACTCCCCAGTCGACCATCCCCGTCAGCTCCTGCCGCGGCACCGAAAGGTGCGCCGCCAAAGAAGGGATCTTTCGCCGAGATCATGGCGCGGGCTCAACAGGCTCAGACCAAGCTGGGCCAAGTCGGCAAGATCCAGCACAAACCGGTGGAGAAGGTGTTCACCAAGAAGGAGCGGGAGGAGATGAAGAAGGATTACAAGAAGGACCCCAAGAAGGATCCCAGGGGCGCAGCGAGGCCAGCGTCGAAATTCCAGGGGACCTCAAGACCGTCTTCGGCTCCGCCTTCGCGTAATGGGGCCAGCGCAAATGGATCAAGCGCCAGCCGTAACGGAACCGCCGACAGAGCGAGAGACCCTAGGGCCGGCGTAAAGGCACGCGCGGCCGCTGCCGAAGAAGAGCAGCAGAAGAAGCTCAAAAAGGCCGCCGTCGCCACCACAGGATACACGGGTACCGCCCGCCCGAGACCCGGAGCTACCTCGGCAAAGAAGAAGCCGGCACCAGGAGGCGCCCTCCTCAACTCCCGCCCTGCCCCGCGGTACGGCGGCTCCGCGAAACGTTCACGTTATGATGAGGAAGAGGAAGAAGAATTCGACGACTTTATCGAGTACGACGAAGATGAGGAGGACGACCGCGGTCCCCGGTACCAATACGACTCTGACGGATCTTCAGACATGGAGGCCGGCATGGATGACGTGTGGGATGAGGAAGTAGCGGCTGAGCGTGCGGCCCGCCGCGAAGATATCGAACAGGAGCGGCTCGAGAAGCGTCTCAAGGCCGAAAAGGAGGAGCGCAAGCGCAAATTTTACGAGGAGCAGCGACGACGCTAGGCTTTCTTCCATCACCCCCCCTCATTTCTCGCCATCATATTTTAACCACAGGGGTTTTTGGATGGCACTTCTGAGGAATTTGCACCGGTACAGGCGCGGCTCAGCATCACATTAGCGAAGGCGTTCATTTTTGAACTTCAAGTTTGTTTTGTCATTATTATTATGGGATATCACTACACTCCACGGCCAGTTTCTTTGGCTTCTTTCGTAAATTATCACATAGGGAACAGGTAGATACGTGCTACGGCTCAATGATACCTCGGTCGCCATCGAGCACTAGCCTAATGTTATTACTTCCGTACCGTTGACTGGCCAAATCTGACGTTCTTGCTCCAACATCAAGACTAACCCCGACTGAACTCGTCAACCTGCGTGAAGATTATATCGCCCCTCTCAAACTTCTATTCCACGAACAATAAGCTACGATAACTCACTAGTAACGGCATCAATTATTACAAGAATCTCAAACAGAAAGCAACAAAGTCGAATGATTTCCTTTTTCTTGCTTTATATTGAAAGGAGCGCAAGCGATTGGGCACAGGGCGACATAACCTTCACACCGCATGGCCACGCTCGTGTTCCAAAAGTAGCTAGATTCGACAGGTACATAACCAAGAGTCTTTGATGCACAATCACGTAAAAATTGTCAATGAATGACCACCAACCGAGGTTTCCAAGACGTAAGTTTTATTCATTATGACTAATTGCAATGTGCACCAAGACACGGAAACGTAAAAGCCATTGATGTTTTCCATTCTATAAGCCCGATGCGAAGCCCTCCTTGAGGTATCAGATAATACAGCCGAACCGGGCTGCAGTCAGTTCAAAAACTCCTCTGCAAGTCCTGAAGCGATCATCTCAAAGCGGGTTTTGCGAAGCTACTCAGCCCCATCCTCAAACTCCGACGGCTCTAAAATCATGAACTTGTTGAATAGAAATCGCGCCCATGCCGTCGTATCTCCAGTCTCGCCCCCTTTTGATTGATGAAACGATCTTACACGCGATCTGGGATCGCAACTTTGCAGATTCAGCCCTAAAGGTAATCGACGCGGCCAAGGAAACCGAAATGCCAAAGCCACAGTCGTCCGAGCGTGGCGAAAGTCAACGAAACGGGGGCTGGCAAGGATTGATGATGTGATCCTAAGTATACTTTTTCCTTGCCCAACTTCTTTGATGTAGATTAGATTTCGATCAGGTACAAAACACAAACATTGCTGCGAGTGAGAATCGCTGCATCAGGATGACTTCTCCGCCGTAGCGAGAGACCTGTTGCATAATTCGAGGCCGCCATACTCAGGCGGGCCAGTGAAGAAAGAACTGAGTCACACTTCTAGTGGAAGCAGTGCAGAGTTGAAGCGTTTGAGTGACATCCGGCCTTGGCCGTTTGTGGCAGCCCTCTATGGAAGATCTTCCGACTTGAGACCTGAGTTCCCATATCCACTCAAGTTCCAGCCTTTGTATCGAACCGTAGATCCGCCTGCAGAAGGAGGCGGTTTATGGGGAGGAAGTCCGTGATGCTTCATAGGTGGCGCTGGGAGAGAAGCAGGTGCAGCTGGAAGACTGCTGGGATGCTGGCGGGATTGAGATTGGGAGGTCTGGGAGCTCCCAGACCCATTGTGCCCATTGGTACCGTTGGGTTGATCTTCAGGCTTCATCAGGCCTTTCTCCCGCAGGTATTGGATTGACTGAAGAACAGTAAGGTCCTCTTGGTCCTTGTCGTTCAAGATCAAGCGCTGCTGGATGGTGAGGTGGCCATTGTTCATCTCTCTCTCCTTCATGGCTGCCTCCCTAATAGCAGGGTCATGTACGAAGCGGCACTTGCCCTTCTTGCCGCAAGTACCTCCCGTAGAGTAGTACTTGCAATGCTTTGAAATGTCTGCTTTCTTTGCAGGAGGGGGAGGAGGGGGGGCCGGCTGAACACGACTTGACGCGACTTCTGGCTCATCGTCTTCAGACTTGATATCAATGGAGGGGCTGTCTCTCATCTCATCGCCCTCGTCTTGCTGTTCACGCTTGCGCTTGATAGACGATTCAACTTTTTCCAGTTGCCGCCTCAGCTTGCTGGCGAGGTTTTCTTCCTTTTCCAAACTAGAATGGATTTTATTGCCACTTCCTTGCGTGGTCTCGACAGACTTCTTAGCCTTGACGCGCGCAGCCGTGGGGAAGCGCTTCTTCCGCTCAGCAATGTACGAAGCGACATCAGTCACCCTGCGAGACGGTCAGCTAGAGCAAAATCTGATATCGACATCTAACTTACTGCAATGCATCTGCTCCAATCAACTTGCGAAGCGTCTCCTCTTCCATCTCATCGTCTTCCGACTCTGAGTCTTGGCCAGGTGTAAGACCAAGGGTGTTAGTCTTACGCTTCTTCTTCTTACCCGAAGCAGCATTGTCGTGCTTGTCATGCTTATGGTGGAACCCTCCTCCATCTTGTCTGTTGTTGTGATTGTGATTTTGGTTGTTGTTGCCCTGTTGACGATGACGGCCCCTGTCGTTGCCGTGGAACGAGCCACGGCCGCGTGGATTGCCGCCACGGTGACCACCACGGCCTCGGCCGGCCTGTCCATCATGTTTGTAGTACGGCTCCTGTGGAGGAATCGCTGCGTGAGGCGCCGGGGGAGGGGCGTGGTACGGATATTGCGTCGGAGCTTGATACTGGACGGATTGCGCGCGTGGATCAGCATACGGCTGGCCATATCCACCATTCGCTTGATGGTGAGCGCTATCACTACCGTAGGCTACAGGAGCAGGCGTGGCCATGTTAGAACCTCGGGGCCCGCCTCGATCGTTTCCGTAACCGCCGCGACCGCGACCAGCGCCATAGGGACTTTGAGCATGAGGGTCGTGTCCAGCCCACGGCTGGGCAGCGGTATATGGTGCAGGAGCGGGATATGGTTGGCCGTAGGGTTGCTGCTGTGGTTGTTGCGGCTGCTGTGGCCCGTAGGCTGGCTGGTGAGGTGGCGGCTGAGGGTGTTGCGGGTGTTGAGGATGAGCGTAGACCTGGGGAGCGTAGTTTGGATGATAGTTGGAAGTCGACAAAGGAGTGGGAGCGTGAGCGCCATGCTGAGGAGCACTATGTGCGTGGTCTTGATGCCACTGCTGTTGGGGAGGGTAGTTGTTGCCAGCAGGTTGTTGCTGGGCGGGATATCCTGGGCTGTGTTGAGGGAATGGCTGCTGGCGAGAGTATTCGTACTGCGGCTGATGAGCTGGAGGATACTCAGGGCGGCCACCGTTCGATGGGTAGCCAGCACGCCCGCCACGGGCAGCATGGGCACCTCCGCCTCGTGAATGCTGTTGATAAGCGCCGCCGTGGTGCCCATATCCAGGATGACTAGCCTGGGCAGCCGGAGGCGGAGGTGGTGGGGGACCGTAGTTGTAGCCCGACATGTTGGCTCGAGGACGACGACGCGTTCTTCCTATGTTCGCAGTCGAGATGTAAAAGAGCGTTCGGGATTCTGGAAGAAATGAACCACAATGGAGAAGCGCAGGAAGTGCTGTATTCGATTGTAACGGTCTCGGCGATTTGTGCACCAATCTTTGTTTGGAAGGGCAGCAAGGGCGATTGAAAAATCGATCTACGTAGCGAAAAGCAGTATTCGAGGCTCGGAACTAGTGAATTCTATGCAGAGGGCGCCAGTTGAAGAGAAGAAGAAAGGCGGCCAACCTGAAATGATTGAGGTGATGAAGGAAGGGAAGCGAAAGGCTCGGGGATGGAAGAGACGGCAGGACGCAGTTTCCCTGACCTGACGCGAAGCTGAGGCAAGTGCGTGGAGCCCCTAGGACTTGAGCTTTCGGAGTCGCCCTGCAGTCATTTCGGGTCCCGCAATAACAGTTCCAGCGGGTTGCGACAGAGGCCCGCCGCCTGGGCAGGCCTCGAGCCACTAAAGCGTGGTGGGCCACAGGGACACACATGAACCTGCAACCGCTAAGGCTAAACTCAACACAGAGGGCGGTAAGAGTCAATCTGCTTCCCAAGACCAAAGCGCCCCGCGATTTTGCCGACTTTGCGATCTCACTGAGCGCCGACACAATACATTGAACCACGACTCGAAAGACCCAATCACGACCCTTCAGAGGCGTTGAGGTGACGGACGATGATACCAGGTCAATAGCAATTTTTACCTGGGATCATTCTGGCCTACAACCCGCTGTCTCGAAGATAACCTCGCCGAAGATGTTCATCCTAGTAAGACTCGAAAACTCACAAATTTCACTTGAGTGTGTCACTAACACAAATGACCCAATCAAGACCAAGATTGCCGACCTGGTCGAAATCGCACCAGAGGACTTCCGCAAGAAGAGCAAAGCCGCCATTGAGGACAACATCAATGCCAAATACGCCAACAAGGTCATACAGAAGATTGGACTTTGTGTCTGCCTCTACGACCTTTTGTGGACCTCTGAAGGCCTCATCGGCCATGGCACTGGCCTTGTCAACGTGAATGGTATTCACACGAACTCAAGCCGATCAAAAAAATTAAAAATTTGGTCGTCTCTGGCTAATTATTGCGATAGTGGAATTCAGACTCATCGTCTTTAGACCCTTCAAGGGCGAAGTCATGATTGGAAGAATTAGAAGTTCGACGCCGGCCGGCATCAACTTGAGAACCGACTTCTTTGATGACATCTTCATCCCCTTTGATGAGCTCCCCGAGGGTGCCGAGTTGTACGTGAAGCCAGAAATGTCTCATCATTTTGACCCAAGACTAATACAATTATAGCAACCACTCAGAACAGCTATGGATCTGGAACATTGAGGACGACAGACTCTTCTACGATAATCACGAAATGGTCCGATTCCAGGTCATCGATGAGGAGTGGCACGACCAGACGCCCGCAGGACCAAGCCAGGGCGAAGAGGCTGCTCCGCCAAAGCCGCCGTATAAGGTGAAGGGTACAATGGCCATGGAGGGTCTCGGCGTGTGCCTTTGGTGGGACGGACAGGGCGGCGAATAGCTATCAAATGGCCTTTGAGATCTCACAAGCGTTCTTCAGACAATAAGGGCCCCGAGGCGTACGGATGGGTGCGGATTTTGTGTATTATTCTACAATTCTATGACTTGATACCCGCAAGCAGTCTTGACTCCACATCGTCCAAAACAGAGTAGTGGTCAACGACAGCAATGTTCTCAGCCTCGCCCTTGAACTGCTTGTCAGGGTCGACACCGGGTCCAAACATCTGGGGGGCACCTGCGGCACCTCCCATCTGTCCCATTTGCTGGGCCATCTGGCTGGCAGCTGCGTGAAGTCAGTACGCTGGATAAAAAAAAGCCAGGAGCATTTCGAGCTTACCATTATCGCTTCCCAAGATGAAGACGAAGACAGACTGCAGACCAAAAATACAGAGGAAGTACCAAGAGATACTGGACATCCATCGGGGATCCATGTCCTTCGTCGCTACACCCGCCTGAAGCATGCTCTTGAACTTGATGGTGATGGGGAAGGGCAATTTCACTAAGACGGTCAGCAGCTGCACCATATTCCCGGTGTTGGCGATCCAAAACATACTAATGACGTATCCGCTGAAGAAGGCATTGATCCAGCTCATGATCAACGTGTTGGGGATAATCATGGCCATGTTATTCTTCATCATACCCATCATTCCGTCCATCGCGCCGGGATCGGTAAGCGGATTCGCCGGCGGCTGGCCCTTCTGATCCGGATTCTTCAGGTACGCGCCGGACTCGTACGCCGCGACGAGCGCATCGCGGCGAGCCTCAAAGGACTTCTTGGACAGGACGTGGTGGTTGGTGCGGACCGTGACGCCGTGCATCAGGCTGCGCTGCTCCTTGAGCGCGGGCTTGTCGAGCTTCTTGGGTGCCGTGGCGAGCAGGACCGTGGCGTAGTGTCGCAGGATGCCGGTCAAGACCATGACCACCGTGATCGGGAAGAGGATCCAGTAACTAGCGGGATTGTCAGTCAGCATACGCGGGTGCAACTGGGATGGATGGGCAAGTCGGTATTTGCGTACAGGAGCTGGGGATCCCGATGGATCGTCTGCACCGGAACTTGGGCCATGATGGGCTTGTATCTGACGCTCAGAGCCGTGCGATGGGGAATTAGAGACAGTGATGGCGCTTGTCGTTGCGATGCAGCCAGGTGGTTGAGAGCTCCGCCTGCATCAATGTAATGGATGTGGTGGAGTTGGATGTTCGAGTGGGAGCTCCTTCGGGCACTTGTTTCGCCGAGCCTCCGAAAGACCACCTTCCACTTTCACGCTCTGCCCACGGACGGGACTTCTCACAAGGGTCCAAGCTGTCCTGACTCCTAGCTCCGAAAGCCAGGCTGGAGGTTACAAGCCAAACTATCGCAACTCCCACGCCCGCCCGCCTCATACATAGCTGTCAAGTCTTTTCAAAGGCAGGATCTCAGCACTGTACCAGACAAGATGTCCTCCGGAAAAATTACGGTCCATAACCTGGCCGGTATGCACTTTCCTTTACCCTCCCCTTGGCCCTGCGCTAGGCCTAGCTGTTGCATCACACTAACATAAGCTCCCTCCCCCAGACCTGAAGAACACCTCGGACGATGCGCTCCCCAACTACCTCAACTCTCTCAAATTCACCCAATCCCACACGCTCACCGACGTCCGCCTCGCTCTCGGCTACGCAGCATTTCTGATTGCAGGCGCATGTTTCCTCTGGGATTATCAGCTCGGCTTCGACAGCACAAAGTACTACACAGCCGCCGCTGTGGTTCTCTACTCGACCCTCAACGGCGCCCTCACATTATGGATCTGGTTGAAGGAGGCGGGCACCGTGTATGAGGGCACATCCCCCTCAGGCGAGAAGGTAAGGCTATATCACTTCTTCGTACTCCAACAGCTGCATGCAGTGCTAGGGTATGGACAAATCGACTTACACGCTCGGGAAACAGGTCAACATCGCAACCTCAACAAAGAAGAACGTACCTACATACAACATGAAAATCACCCTTACCTCAAAGAATGGCGAAAAGAAGGTCATCAACCTCTTACAACCCTTCAACCAGTGGTTCGACTCGCAAGGCCGCTTCGTCGCGGTCCCCTTCCAGGAGATCCTCGCCACCAACATCCCCGTCGTCGGCAAGCTCGACCCCAAGCGCGTCACGTCCGCCTCCCAGGGATACTCAACCGACGTCCTCGACGCACTGTACGCGGAGAGCACGGCGACGGGGAGCAGCGCCGAGGCGGCCAAGGGTGGAAGCAAGAGACGCAAGGCATAGGGCGGGCCGGACCGGAGGTGGTTTGGACTTCTGTCGCATGGGCGTGCCAATGACCCTTTTTGTGTAAATTACGGATAATCTGGGCCTTCAAAAGCATGGAGTCTGCGTTTCTGCTTCGCATTTTGCTCGAAAGTGCCACGATTGCACATCCATGCCACGGTGTTAATCGTCATTGTTCGCTCCATCCCTCGGTCGGCTCATACTCTGGAACGCATTTATGCGCAATAACCGAGTGTCTACAGTCAATCTTTGCAATGCCTTGTGTGATTTCTAACTCATTAAACTGAATGCTGGTCGTCTAATACTGGTCCATATGGACCTCCAAACGCCTCGCCATGCCACCAACCCTCACCATCATGCAAGTCCGCCAAGTATCCCCCGTCTCCCACCTCATGTTCTAACATGTGAGTCGCCGCCCCCCTATACCAACAATCCGTCATTTTCGTGTCTCGCTCAAGGCCAATTCAAACTCAACTAGGTCGTGCCAAAAGTGTGAAGCATCCCAGTGTATTCAATCCATTCTTCGTCAAGGGTCTTTCAACCTCTGACTACTCAACATACTTAGTTGACCTCATCCCAAGCCTTACGAGACTTGAGAGCAGCCTCTCTGACCATTCGCGACTCGTCACCAGAAGCCTGAGCCAGCAAGCGCTTGGCCTGCGACGCCGAGTCAAGGAGATGGCGATGCTCAAAGTTGGGCGGCAGTTGGCCAATGAGACGAACGACCAGAGCCCGGCATTGCGCCTCCTGGAATCCGGAACGGTCAAAGGGCATGTAGTTCTCCGGCATCCAGGCGTTGTCTTCACCGGCTTGATGTGTTCTGCCTCTTCTGAAGATCGACAAGGAAGCATCAATGACGCTCTTAAGGAAGGGCTGCATGCGTCTGGGCGAGTTCTCCGTAATGACCACCAGAATATGAAGACCGGCTGCCACATCTGCGCTAGCCGGCAGGTTGCGAATTGCGCAAAGGATGATTCGGATGAGGTCCTCCGTATCGTCTTCGTAGTGCGCGTACGTGATGTGCTTGACTGCTCTCAGGACTGCAATACTGTAATTGGCGGCAACGAGCATGTCATCCTTGCTGTTCGAGCCGGCAGGCCAAGCCTTGGGCAGCATGGGCTTGACCAACTCATAGTAGGCCCTCTGTACCCAGAGCTTCTTAAGCTGACCGTACAACTGTGGCTTAGCGACGTTCAGGTCGGTGAAGATGAAATCCATGCTGCGAGCAAGCATGTGACCAATCTTCTTGTTGCCGGGACCTTGAGTGATAGCCGTGAGAACGTTCTTGAGAGCGTTACCAGCGTAGCGTCGGAGAATGCCGACGACAATGGCGAATACAGGCCTTGCCAGCGCTGCTCTGAGGTCGTTGACGCTGTGACCAGCCACCACATTCTCTTCGTGATCGAGGTAGCCGGTGATTCGCTCCAGCTTGTCCGAGAGTCTTTCTTCGCTGACAACGAAATTCATCTGAGTCTCCATCATCTGGACAATGTCGTTCAGGTTCTCGACCTTGTATTTGTTGGCGACGACGGACAGGATGGCCGAAACGACATGGCGGCACTTTGGCGAGTCTGAGTGGTCTCTGGTGAGAAGGCCAGCAACCAAGATTTGGTGCGCGGTTCCTCTTTCAACCTAAGAGAAGGGTCAGTAAAGTGTTCATTATTTTAGCGTCTTGCTTATCTTACCAATCGCTCAACTGTCGTCGGGTGGAAAGCTTGAATGATGCCCAAGGAAAGCACAACAGTGCGGCCATGGCTGAAACCACTGATGGGGAACTGGGGAGGATTTCTTAGGCTGTAAGGGGGTTGCGGAAGACCCATGGTCCGCAGCATGGCCATTCGCAGCTCGCTGTTGTTCCAGCTGTGGTTCTCATCAGCATTGGGGTGGCGGTACCGGTCGCTTCCGCGGAAGAGTGTCACGACTTCTTCGTTCAAAAGCAAGTTGGTCTGCTGGTATTCGCTCATATGCTGGATAGTGAATGTCGCAATGCTCGAGAGATGGTGCAAATAGGCATCCTCTTCATTTTTGTCCTCCGGGTCCTTCCTGCTAAAGTCATCGCTCAAAGCAAGTGAAAGCTCGGAATTGTTGGCATAACTGATGATCTTGGTGGCTCGTCTATAGAGCTGTCGAGTGACGTAAAGATTGATCAGGGCGAGGTCGCCTTGAAGATTGTCGACTTCGTTGCTCTCGTCTATCAGCTCCATTACGTCGATCCGATCGTCAGTGCGGCGTGGCAGATTAGTGAAGCGGTTCGCCACGTAGCTAACCCAGTTGTTATCAAATCTCTTGTCGCTAAAGTTGTTCTTGACGGGATGGCTGATGTGTTCTTTGGCTGCTTCTTTGAATTGAAGCATTGCTGAAAATATGTAGGTAGCAATCACCGACCAAATCTTCGGGTCAGCTTTGACATCCATCATCTTGTGGAGGTTAAGCAGCAGCGCTTCCAAGAAGGATGTGTAGAGTTTGAGCTTCTCAGAGCGGGGGCATTGGGAGCAAAAGACGTAAGTCAGTCTGGCGAGGTTATACTTGAGAATGTCGTGCACGCGGTCTAACGTTTTGGCCGAAGGCGAAGTGCTGTAAGCGTCACAGACTTGGAAGCATATCGCGATCAGCTTTGCTTGAGCCGGAGGGTGTGCCATCGTGGCCTTCTGTAAGGCAATGGCCGCCTCGTCGGATATCTTAAGTTGATTTTTGTCCTTCGCGGGTTCGTCGGGAGCTTGGAGCGCAAGAGTTGCTAGGTTGTCGCAAATTTCGGTAAGTGTTTCTTCTGGGAGCATTGGCAGGTTGGAGTGTCCGGTTTGAGCTGCTCTCTGACAGACCATCAATCCCAGGCCTTTCGTTGCCTGTTGGCCGATGGTGATATCTTCTGGTTGGGCTGTATCCTGTAGAGCCTTTTGGAAAAGAGGCAGGTACGTCTGCTTGTAGATGGGGGCAAGTAGTGGCTCTGTGGATTTGAAGGCCTCGGCGTCCTCGGCACTCAGCTCCACGTCTCCTCCAATTAGGGCTAACCGTAGCTCCAGTAGAGAATTCAGAAGAATCAGGAGGTTCTTCGTATGGTCAGGTGACTTTGTGTGGCGGAGATTCTCCTTGATATGCGTCACGGACGGGGAGATCATGAGTGCAAAAGCAGCTGGCTTTGCGCTGTGGATGGAGATCAAAAGCTTTCCTGAGGCCGCCGTGTAGATCGGGTTTGACAGATCCTCCAAGCAGTCTCTTTGAACAGTCAGAGCAAAATCCCTGAGCTCGTCCCCAGTCAGTCTTTTGGCGACTGTTCGGATGACTTCCAAGGTGGCGTTGATAGTGTCCTCGATCTCCCCGTTGCGGACTTCATACTTGAGACTGTCCCAAATCTTGTCGGTAAAGGGGGTGACTCCTTGTTGAACATGCTCGTAGCTGCTGAGGCATGTGGTCATGGTCTTGAGGATATCAACCTATGACAGTGTTAATATAGGCATAACATAGTCCAAGGAAGAACACAAACCTTGACATTGACACTAACACTGTCCGGTTGGTCTAGCCTGCCGAGGAGGTATGGAATAGCCTTGCTAGCAACGCGATGATGTGCAGAAAAGCAAGCCCTCAAGGCTAACTTGAGATCATCCGCTGTGATTCCCGAAGGATGCTGTGACGTCCTCAACGATATGGGGAAGTATGCCGAAAAGATACTGAAAATCTCATCCACAACCTCTTGTGCAGGAGAGAAGTCTGAAAGAAAGACCTTCAAAATCTTGAACCAAGTCATCAGGCACTTGGGGTCTCGCTCGTTGCGACATAATTGCAAAAGGTCTGTGATGAAGCCTGAGGTTGTGCCGTGTTGATACTGCAAGTCGTTTGCTACATCCGGGTTGGTGATGAGATGGTCCAGAAGTTCATACACTGTGCCACGGGTTTCTGCGACCTGGGACTTGAAATCATCGCCAAGGCTGCACACACTCTGAATAATGTCGTTTCCTTTTTGTGGCTGGAATGTCTTCATGCTAGCAGTTCGATCAAGAGCCTTGGCAGCAGGCATAATGCCAGCCTTGTGGTCGACCTTGAACATGCTTCCAAAGAAAGCCACCAGGAGATTGGCTGGAGAGAAGATGTTAGCAATGAGCCTTTGAGTAAGTAGGCCTCAGCATTACTTACTTTGATCAGCTTTGAGGAATGCAGGATCCAGATGCTCAAGAGTCCCTGCTAGGAAACTCAAAGCTTAAGAAGGCACAATAGTCAGTAATCGTTTTTATTACAACCCCGCATTTGCCCAAATACCTTTGGACCGTGCAATGACATCGCCATCACCGTCATCCTGATCTTCGTTTGCGCTGGGCATCCAGGGTCTGATAGATTCTACCCATCTAGCAACTGGATTGCTGGGTCTGGGTGCTGACTGAATCTCTGGGTCAACGTCAGCACATTGTTCACGTAGCTGGTAAAAGGATAGGGATGGTTCCCTATACATACCTGAAGCTGCCTCCTGTGTGATTGTGATTTGTCTCTCACTATCGTCACTGAGCACAAACTCAAGTGCGAGTTTCCGAAAATCGGCCATGGTAGTTGTGAGATGCGTTGAAATCAAAAGCGTCTAATGGTAGTTGCGATCGCCCAATGTATGTTGCTGAATTGATTCCACCCTGAGTAGTGTGAAGATGGTGTAGATGTTGAGCTGTCGTTGTCTAGGTGCAATCGGAAAGGCGTTGCAGTGAGAAGTCGTGAGATATTCCGTCGCTCTTTCCTCAAATAGTCCCAAAGCCAACCCCGCGCCTGCTCAAAATGCTTCCCAAAAGTGTGAAGGAGTGACAAGGTCTTCTCCTTTCATGCGAATTCTTTGCCTAGATATCCAATGTCGTGAAGGCGGTGATTGTTCTAGGTCGAGGGGAAATGGTGATTTGGCGAATGGTTCGTTGGGCATTTGTCAGTTGCCGATACTGGGCTTCATACCACCGAAAGCCGGTGATGAGTTGTGAGATAATTACTCAGGCTTGCTGGGTTGTTGGTGGGGATATCTGAATTGAGAAGGCGGTATAGCTCTTATCGCCGTTATCGCGGTCTGGAGGAACCAATGTCCGATTAACGCTCCTTTTTCGGCTTAGTGTTGAGACCTGACATATCCTTCCTTGAGTACGGATTCGAAATGTTTTGGGTCATTGGTAAGAAACGGCATAGTCTGAGAGAAAATGTCTGGAGTTAGAATTATTCTTGAGTCGTTTGTTTGCTACGACCTGTTTCCTATCAATGCTTTCAGCCTGGAGAGGAATTGCGACAGATGGAAACGGCTACCGACTAGTCCTAATTGGGTAAGAGGGAATGGAGGGGTAACACAGACGGGACTGCGCAAGGGCCGCGGGGTCCTGTGCCAGCAACAGAGGGAAAAAAAATTTGGACGTCGAAGTCGGAGCGTGCCCCTCCAAAAGACTCGGAGCCATTCAGCTTCACTTGATTAACCTTTCTTCACCTTCGCTGCCCAATACCGCATGAAAAGTCGGATTTCGAATCCAGATCGATTGCCACTCCCGTATCCGCCGTAATATTGGTCACTTG